AAGTGCCTCTGTGCATCAGTTTTCTCATATATAAAATGAAGACACTCATTACATTTACCTCCTAGACTTATTCAAGGTTTTAATGAGTTAACACACATGAAATGATTAGCACAGCACTTGGCCCATAGTCAGCCCTCAGAAAATGTTAGCTATGATTATTTATATATTATTTTATTATAGATGTAATAAATATAACATAAGGGTAGTAATCTTATCATTTCAAAGGACAATTGTGATAAATAAATATACCTGTGAAGACAAGTAAACAATTGAGTATGATCTTAAAGTGTGTTTTCTTTGCTAATTAATCATTTATAAATAAAATTATACCATTTGTGAATAGTCAGATGTGAATAAAATTAATTGATAATACATTTTCTTATTTACATTTATGCCTGACCTTGTTGGCAAGTGTCAGGACATCTCTTTGTTTTTATTCAATTTAGGTTACTAAGGGATCTTGTCATATAATTCAGAAAATAGTATATATGAGGGTACTTAAACATTTTTATGGAGGGGGGAGAGGGAGGAGGGAGGGAGGTTTCGGTGATGGGCCATAATAATCAACCACATTGTATATCGACAAAACAAAAATTTTAAAGGGAAGAAAAAATAAAATAAAATAAAATAAAATAAAATAAAAATTTTATTTAAAAACCATCAAAAAAAAAACAGAAAAGAAAAATTTGTATTATCTTTTAATTCTGATTTTCCATGAACTTTTTGAAGTCTATACATATAGTATTGAGATTGAGCAAAAGCCCTAAGCTATTTTTTCATAAGTATTCTGAGCTTATGTTTTTACATTAATTATAATTATTGTATAGGTCCTTTGGTTTTGATAAGTGAAAAAAAAATTAGACAAACATTAAAAGGAGATAATTGTCATAGTATATTTTTATATACTATGTTTAGATCTACCTGATTCAAACGATTACAAAATTATCAATCTTAATAATCTTTCTTTTATATGTCTTCAATATAAGCCATGCTAAGTGATTCTCAAATGCATTATTTTGAGATGATAATTAATTTTCAACTAAATCAAAATAAATGCAAACATGTGTTTTTGTGCACATTACTATCCTAAAAAAATTAACCATTATTTGATAAGCATGTGTAAGTAAAGAAAAAGTTTCCTTTTCCTTTACCCATCTTAGGCTCATCTTAGGCTGGGGCCTTATAAATTAGACTGACAAAAGGCAGATTAATAAAAGAAAAACAGAGTTTTATAAACACGTGCATCATACATACACATGGAAGCACTCAGTGATGAATAACTCAAAGAGGTGGTAAGAACTTGGGCTCCTGTAGTATCTTAACAAAAAAATAATACATTTTTAGAGGAGTGAGAAGACAAAGAGTAAAGACTTAGAGTTTCTAGGCCGGCAAATTATAGGAAGGTAAATATATGGGGGAACTAATGGAAGATAAGGGCTAATTAGTAATTTGTTATGTAGATTCCTTGGGTGCCATCTCCTGGCTGATAAGGGTCTGGAGAAGGGTCTAGAGTTGTCTCCAGTTATTAACTTCTGTCTTTCCTGATGGAGAAGGGAGGAGGAACACCTTTGTACATTTAGGTCTGCTTTTAGACAAATAGGGGACAGCAGGAAGCTCTTCTTGTCTCTTTTTCTCAATTGCCTTTAGCTTGAAATGACCCTTATGCCAATGTGGCATATTTTGGTGGCATATTCTGCTTCCCTAATTACATAACGAAGTTATGCATCTTCCGCTTATTTTACTTTTTTTAAAACATAAAATCGTATATATGCGCCTTTTTTAATCACTAAAATGGTCATCGATTGCTTTAGTGATTTAAAATAATAATTACCAAATTTATTTTCTCTTAATATTTTGCTTCTCAATATTTGTTTCCCAGTGAATTGTTAATAATATTATGAAAAACTCTAGGTATGAAATTTGTTTTTCAGTGATTTTTGATGACTGTCAACATTTTTAAAGAGTTAAATGACTATCATGTATAAACGAAATACTAATTGGGAAAATATATTCTAAAACAGTAATTGTCATTGACTCTTACCACTAAATATAAAATTAACCCATTTCATATTTTCTGCAGAAGATCTGAGAATTTTTAAACAATAATACGAGGAAACGAGGCTCACAAATTTTTTCTAGCGTACTGGTAACATTGGTCAACAGCTTGGGAAATACTGCTCTAAGCATGCTGCATTATAACTTAATGTTCACTTTTTTTTTTTTTTTTCTTGTTAGGAACCTTTCCCTGAAATTAACAAAAGACATTGATCAGGAAGCCAGGTGTTCCCACATCAGTCGAATGCCCAGCAGCCCATCTACAGATTGGCCCCTACAAGGTGTGGAAGAAAATGGAGGCATAGATTCTCTGCCATTCAGACTGATGTTGCAGGACTGCACAGCAGTGAAGACATTATTACTAAAGATGAAGAGAGTTCTTCAAGAGGTAATGCTTTACTTTAAGATTAATGACTTCCAGTGCTGGTAGACAATGAAGTCTGTATACCTGGTTAGACACTGCTCTGTCAATAGTTAACTGCATGACATTGGGCAGGGGTCAGGTATCCTCTTGGAGCTTAGCTTTTTTCATATGTCAAATGAAGGATTTGGAGTTAGGGTTTATAAGGTACTCTTCAGCTCCAAAATTCTAAGATTCTGTAAAAGAATTAAAAAAGAATAAATCGATGCCAAGCCTCCCTCTATGTGTCAGGTAAGGAGAAATGGGTATCAGCTATTAGGCTATGTTTATATGTTATTATAAAGCCATTGAGAGACCTATTAAATGTACTTCACTTTAATGATACTGGGGCTCTATTTATATGATATTATAAAAGTAGTTTATTTAGCCACTTATGTTCTAATAATAATAAATCCAGTAAAAATCAGTCTGAAGTTCTGAATGATTTTGCCCAGTGAATACAGTTGCTCTCCCACAGCAAATAGTGAGCTAGTCAGAAAAATGCATAATGGGATTTGTTCACCTTTATGCCCAGGAATCAGTCATCCTTTAGCGTTTTAGTATATTACGGCTTAATTTTTATAATTACAACAACTGTTTTCTTTGGGGAATTTCCATAAAAAGTATACACAGTAATATTTCTTTGTAGATATGTCAAGTGAGGGTCAAAAATTTTAAATGGCGTCCCTCTAGTGACTTGTTATTTCAGGACAACAGCCTGAGATTTGTGACTCCAAAATCAGTGACTGTCCATTATCTTTCACTTGATTTCTCTTTATTGATATATTTATAAGTAGTGTGAGAACAAAAACTATTGCTATTTAGAATAAATAGTATTATGGCTACCTTATAATGATGATTGCTAATATTTGCTTTTTTAACAATTTGATAATAGTACTAGTAGCTACCACAAGAGTACAAAATTGAAATCAGGAAGGAAGAAGGCAATTTAAGAGAAATGATTGCCATAGGCTATTGGAGACATCCTGTCATGTGTTCTCAACAGCTGTTATAAACAAAATCTGGAAGCGATCTTCTCTGTATCCCATGCCAGTTTATACTACTGGGATGGCCTTTGTGTCTTGAATCTATGAAGTCATATGCCAGAATGATATGCTTATACCTGATCACTATCAGAATTTCAGGAATTATGTGAGCTGGCAGTTAAGCAAAGGAATAAAAATAAATTATATAAACTTATAATTAAACAAATTATATTTTTAACAGGGTAATCAGCACTCAACTCATTTCCTGTTTATTTTACTATTAGACATCTATCGGATTTATATGTCAGAAGTACTGGGCTGGCCCGGTGGTGCACTGCTACAGTGCGCCGCTTGGGAGTGAGGCGGCGCTCCTGCCGAGGGTTCGGATCCTACATACAGACCGGTTCCCGCTCACTGGCTGAG